TGAAGATATATTGTTTACATCTGATAAAGATGAAAATCATGTAAATAAAATCTCTGAAAACAGTTTGGATGATATTTACACTGAAAATGCTGAGAAATTATGTTTATCAAAAAATTTTAATGAAAATTCTCAAACTAAACCATTACCAACTCAAAATAAAGTCAAAAATCTACCATGTACTGTGACATCATTAAAAAATAATTTAGAAGATAATGATTACAAGCCAGATATCAGTTCGAATTTTTGCTGTCAGAAATCTACTTCTAGTACTCTAACAATGAATGAAAGTATGTATAATTTAACTATACAATTTTCTTATATTTTTTAATGAGCATCTCAGAAAAATTCGTTTTTTATTTTAGTCACAAATATTTGTACAAATCAACTGATTCAAACAGATCAAATAAATACCACTTATAACAAGGATCAATATTCAAGTTCAAACTCTTCCATGACTGAGTTCACCAAATCTGACTATGATTTTTCTTGGGAACTTTTAGCAGTATTTAAAAAAACTTTTGGACTTCGATATTTTCGCCCCAACCAACTTGAAGCCATTAATGCTGCTTTACTTGGTCATAATTGTTTCATTTTAATGCCAACCGGTGGTGGAAAATCATTATGTTACCAATTGCCTGCAGTTGTATCAAAAGGTGTAACTGTTGTGATATCACCATTAAAATCATTGATTATTGACCAGACTCAAAAATTAAAGTCTCTAGATGTAAGTATTTATTAGGTAAATTCTATTTAGACATTTTAGTTTGAAATAAATGTTTTGATTTAATGTAATCAGGGAACTTTAAAATTATTTAGCATATAAAATTTGCAATATTTAATATATTTTGAAATAATTTGTTGTCAACAGATACCAGCAGCTCACTTATTAAGTAACATTACTCCAGACGAAGAAAATAATATTTATTCTGAACTTTGGGGGGCAGATCCAGGTATATAAATATGTATATAATTATGAAAATATGAATAGAATGATGTTATATTTATTTTTGATAGTTTATAAATTGAGTAATGTAACAAACCATAGAAAATATAATATGATTTATTATTATTTAAAGATATTAAAATGTTTGATATCAAATCTATTTGGTKTAAATCTGCATTCATTTTTATATTTTAAGTAATACATTACATATGTTCAAGGATTAAAATTGCTGTATGTTACACCCGAAAAAGTTGCAGCAAGTGATAAATTAACACAAGTTCTAAACAATTTACATTGTAGGAACTTACTAGCTCGAATAATTATTGATGAAGCTCACTGTGTGTCCCAATGGGGTCATGATTTTCGGTTGGTAATTGTTTATTTTTAGTATTTAAAGTAATTTTACTACATTCAAAATTAATATTCATATTAAATTGTTATTTCATGTAAATTAGACCAGACTACAAGAGATTAGGGGTATTTAAACAAAATTATCAAAATGTTCCAATAATGGCATTAACGGCTACAGCAACTCAACGTGTTCGTCAAGATGTTCTACATCAGCTTAATATTGAAAATACAAAATGGTATTATATTTATTTAATTACAATTTTTACTTAATTTCTGGCAAATAAGTTTCAAAAATCAAAATAAATCTTTTAAAACCATCAATATATTTCTCTTATTCCTATTAATATGTTATCATCTATAATTTAATTGTATAACATACATTTTAGAATTATCTGAATATTTAATTTAATAAGACGAGTTCACTAGTATCAGCTGTTGAACTTGATTTAATTTATTTGTTCTTACAATTTAAATACTGTGTAATTAGGCACACAATGATAAAAAAGTTTAAATATCTATGCATTGAGTTATTAAAGGAATATTATTCTATAATATATGTCTAATAAATATGGCCTTATTTTTATTGAATTGTCGTTTGATGTTTGCGTATAGTTATTTGTAAATATTCTATATTCTATTAGAATAGCAACAAATTTGTCATACATTTTGGACCATTTTTACTTTTCATAAATAAAACAAGAAACACAGTCCACTAGTAAATGTTTTGAAGTCCTACTAGTCCATTTACGCTTGATGAAGGAAATACTTTTTTTTATATTGATGTAATTCATAATTAAAAAACTATTCATTTTTTGAAATATGTCTAAATTGAAAATTGTATTATTATCATTAAAGGAACATGAAACATATTTCTCTATCATTTTTTATTCTTGAAATTTTTAAAACAATATACAAAAATATTACAAAACTATTTAACAAAAAGATTTTTATGTAAATTATACATGTATTTATTTATTTGTTTTGACGCCATGTAGAATTTATGTGAATACTTTTTATTCAAGGTTTGTATCCAGTTTTAATCGACCTAATTTAATTTATGAAGTAATTCCTAAAAAAGGCAAATCTTCATTATTAGAAATTGCTAAATTAATAAAATCAAAATTTGCTCGCCAGTCTGGTATAATTTATTGTATGACTAAAAAAGAATGTGATAATACTGCAATGTTGATGTCTAGAGAAGGAATCAAAGCTGTAAGTTATCATGCTGGATTAACAGATAAAAAAAGAAATGATGTTCAAATGGAATGGACTTCAAATAAATCAAATGTAAATTGAAATACATTCTAAACGCTAACAATGAATGTTATACATTTTTAACGTTTTAAACTATAAATTTCAGGTAGTTTGTGCCACAATTGCTTTCGGCATGGGTATTGACAAACCAGACGTTCGTTTTGTTATACATTATTCATTACCACAATCTATTGAGGGTTTTTATCAAGAATCTGGTAGAGCTGGACGGGATGGTGATATTGCATACTGTTTGATATATTACAACTATTCTGATATGCATCGTATCAAAAAACTTATCGAAAGTATGAGAAAATATTATATTCTAAAATTTCTTATTTTCTTTAAATATTAGATGTTTGATGATAATTCAACACATTTTAACTTAGAACATAATATTTTATTCTATAATTTTAGTTAATGGTTATAAATTTACCAACGCAATTAAAACTAGTTACGTTTTTAAACAGATTTTTGGGTTTAAAAGTATTAAACCCGATAATACTTTGCATTCAGTTTTTTAATAAAATTTAATCGATTACTATACATGGCCTAATAAATTTAATACATTATTAATGATTTAAATTTTGTTTTAAGTTGGTGGTGGAGCCACTTATGAAACGAAAAAAGTACGTTTTCATAATCTCTGTAGAATTGTATCATACTGTGAAAACAAAGTGGATTGCCGCCGTGCTATGCTACTTAACTATTTTGATGAAAAATTTGATAAAGCACAATGCATTGCTAACGAGAAAACTACTTGTGACAATTGCCGAATAAAGGTACATTATTAAATATAATTAAATCTATCGAATGGAACTATTCTTTCAATTTAAAATAGGCAATAGTTAATATTGGTTTGATTATCAGTTAAGAGCTGATATATTTTTTAGGATTTTTCTTAGAAGATACAGTCAACCAATAATGTAAAGTTACTGTTTATAATTAAATTTATAAATACATTTACTATGAATTTTAAATTTTGGCCAAGTTAAATATTAATGAAAATTAGTTTTCTATTACAGCGTTCTATAAAAATAATTGATGTTACTGAAGAAAGCATTAACCTAATAAAGGCCATTCAAGAAATTTGCGTTTCAAGCAATAATTGTAGGAATAATTTTACATTCACTCATTTTGTAGATATTTTCAAAGGAGTAAAAACTCAAAAAGTGATATTCCATGGTAAAATTTATTATCATTTAACTATTAGATTTATTTATATATATTTATATATAATTATAAAAAAAATAAATATTTATCACAATATAGGCCATGAACATTCTAATATATTTGGCAAGGCTGTACACTGGGATAGAGATGATATAGAACGATTAATACACAAATTAATACTCGAAGGTTATTTGAGAGAAGAAATGGTTGCATTTAAATCAGATATTATGAATGCCTACATTCGAATAGGCCCTGAAGCTGAAAATCTTCTTGGTGGTTTTGTTAAGGTAATAATAAATTATTATATATTAATTAGATGTTACAAACTACATGTATTTTTATAGTTATCACTTGCATTAAGTCCAAAAACAAATGTGATTGACAGTTGTAATGTAGGTATTAAAGATAGTACTGTAAATCCAATTATTGAAGAAATAAAAGAAAAATGCTATAAAAATCTAATGGAAGTATGTCGAGGTTTAGCTGAATCTCTGGATATCAGTACAAATGCCGTTATGACTATCCAAGTAAGTATGAAACAAATATCTTAAGAGATAGATTCATTAAAAATATTTTTTTAAATATATGGTCTAAAATAAAAGAACACATGGTTTGGTTTAATAGTATAAAAGTGAAAGAGAACTATATTATTATGCAGTATTAAACTACAAAATACATTACTATTTTAGGCAATTCGAACAATGTCACAATTAATGCCCAATAATGAAGAAGACATGTTAAAAATTGATGGTGTTACAAAATCTAATTTTGAAAAATTTGGTCAACCTCTGTTAGAAATCACACAACAAGCAGCTGCAGAAAAGTCTGGTATAGTTTCCTAGTTATTATTATAGTCCTAAAAGATTAAAGGAAAGATTCCATGTTTTAATTGGTACTTTCGAAAAATATTTTATTGTGAATATGAATATCATTGCAAGTAGCGCAAGAATTCAATATTCATAAACACTGTATTTAAAAAAATAAAGTTAATAATATTACCTATGTTTAATGCAATAGCGATTATAAGCTCTGAAATGAATCAGTATGACTGTGGCAATAATGTCAATTGTCAAGGAATAAATGTTGACTCTCCATATTTTGAAAATATGGCCAACAGAATGATGGAAACTAAAACTTTAAGAGGAAACAAACGGAAAACAACTTCTTCATCTTATAAAAGAACTAAACGTTTTAAAAGGAGTAAAGGAAAAAAGTAAATAAGTTTTGTAACATATACATATACTAATTTTATTTAAAAGTATTATTTGTATGTTAAAAGTTAAGTAAGCAAAATCTAACTTTATAAATGTGAAATGAAAATCTTTGTACGGGGTAAACTTTGGAACTACTTATCAAATCTTCTTGATTATATTTTTTAAACGAAATAGTATATTGTGGAGCAGGTTTTTGGCATAAATTTAGTCCAATAAAGTTGCGGGGGGTATGAGAATGACCATACTAAAAAAATTAATTAGTTTCGCCATCTTTTCAGCTAAAAATATACTAAATATTAAATATGTTTGTATATTGTAAGGTTGATATTGATTTTAAATCTAAGGCTGTGAATTATTTAATAATTAAAATAATGCGAAATAATTCATTTCCCGTCAATATTCAACATTTTTGCGCTTCATTAGGTTATCACAATTAACTTAATTAAAATGCTCAAAAGAATACCAATTATCGGCCGCGATACTCGAAGAGCAAAGAGATTGTGTTCTATCAGAAAAATGATTCAAATGTCAATAGGGAAACGATTAATTCGCCACCAGTTTTTATGGTCATGTAAAAAAATTTCCGCATTTAGGTATGACGCTTCAATTAAATTTGAAGATGATTCCCATATTTTTAATGGGAATATGACTACGATTAGTGAGTTTTGCCAGGCAATGAAATGGCCTCTTGTAGCTCTTCCGGTTTTTGCTGTGCTAGAGGAAAAGTTCTTTTGAACGAAATCGCTAATCCGCTGGAACCATTAAATAGTATGATAAATAACACACACGATCACTCTAAATTTTTTCCTGAAAATATACGGAATTGTTATTCTGCCTTTCAAATTACGCCTTTTGGTGTCACTGAAATAAGACATAGGATTTCACGCCTACATTATAAATTCAAGGTTCAGCTATATTATGCAGTTGTTTTATTATTATCAAACACGAATGAAATACCAACATTTTTACAAATTGATTTCATGGGAAATGGAGATTTAGATAGACGACTATCCGTATGTCCTCACGCCAATGGAGACATTTTATATGATTTGCAAGAACTGCACAGTGGAAATTCGTATGTGCAAGGTTTGAAATATGTTATCGAAACACTACCACCGAATTCTACTGACTTCAAAACGATCATTAGAGCCGAACTAAAATCATCAAAAGAACACAGAGGCCATTTCAATGCTCCACAATCAGATGAAGTGGCAAAACTAACTGTAGGCCAAGAATTTGCTAAAAGAGACATGTTACTTCGGTCTAAAGACGATATCCTTCAGCGCGTCAATAAAACATATCGATTATACTCAACAATACCCATTGATGTTATTTCGTGGAGAAATGATCAACATTCCACAAATCGATCTAACTACAAGTGAGATTCTCAATCAAAGTTTCTGCAAATAATTTTTACGCATATAGACTAATGAGTAGAAGTTATTTCAACAATGTTCTACTAAAAAATCGAGTTTTTGTAAATTTTTAAATCCTCGGAAATTTGTCACTGGAAGTTTTGAACATGATTAACCGGGTATTAAACAACGAATTAAACACACATTTTGAATCATATAGTTTATATTTTAATGGGCAACAAAGTGTACTGGGATCAGCTGGTTATTATATACCTACTTTAATACCCGGATATAACAGTTTTATATTTACAACTCAAATTTATTTGTTTCTTAAATAATTTACATTCACTGGAAGGAGGTCATGGGGAAACAGTACATTTAATATTATATTACATAATCATTAGAAGCGTGTTGTTCCGCAATAACCGTTATAGGTACTCGCGTACCTGTGCTATCGCAACTTTTTGTCGACATCCATAATACGAGTGATATTTTTATGGTTATGTCGCAGAAATAAAATCCGATTATGTCTCGTAAAGAGATATCTTAACGTCAGTTATCTTCTACTTCGTCGCCAACTAAGTATGATGAAACGAAAGGAAATGTATTTATTACGCTCAATAGATATGCTTCCCTCTTTGTGGACCATCTTCCAAAAATATTCAGCTCTCCCCCGTCTCGAGACCGTCATTGCATAAAAAATTGAATACAGGTACTTCTGCAACTTTCCACATGAACTCAAACAGGTCTCCACCAATTTTTATACAAAAAAAAAACCAACTAATCTCTTCAAGTTAAGTAATGCGACATCACCTATATTTGATTCAGAAGAATTGATTAAAATCCTCAAAAGACTTTCTAACAATCAAAACGGCTGATTGTGCTAATTACAAGGCGTTGGAATATCTCGCAAAAACATATCTTTCCACCATGCTGCGACTTTCCAATCCTTGTGGTTATTATTCGGCACTTGCACCACTCGATCTCCGTCGAGGATATCGAGTCAGCCCTAATGGAATTGGGCTTTTCATTTCTAAGTGTTCGCCAAGTTAATAAATTCCATAATCANGTAAGTTAGATACCTATGAACTTATTCTTACAATTTAACTACTGCATCTTAAGTTATCATTGCAAAAATTGTATTCCAAATCGTAGTCCAATGCACGAAATGCCAGCTGTATGGTCATGTCTCAAGATATTATGTAACGACCCATTTCTAAAACAACCAGCAACGACGCTTCAAAAAAAGTGTATCCAGGTCCTCCGACAGTCAAGGTTCCGGTCACTCAACCCCCTCTCAAAAACAAGTCATATGTTTAATCAACGAAAAACGAAGAATAGTTTTCATTCGATCATATTTCCAATTTCATTTCTTTTATTTATTAAGAATTAAGAGCTTTCTATTCTTCTCACAACAACTCTTAATTTTCTCCTTGCTAAATCAATATAACATTGTACATAAATATATATAAGATATAACGTAACTACTGACTAGCCATCAATATTTTTTTTCATTTTGTAATATTGTTCTTATAACATTGTTTTCACTATTTTATTATTTAACTCACTATCTGCAGTAATTTGATTTTAATTGCTTTAAGTAATTATGTATTGTACAGTCAATTGGAACTTATGTATCTTATCTTGTATTCTTAAATAATAGTAGAGCTATCATAGCTATATTAAAAGCTAAATAGATAAAAAAAATTATTTGAAGTGCACATAATTCATACTTTAATGTACGCATGACCTTGTATTTTTTTTTACTTTTTATCAACTTTGAAATTAAAAAGCTTTTAAACTAAGTTGGTTTCTTCAATTTAACTATTGAAAGCTATCTCCAAACCTAGGAGTTTTAGTCAGAAACATAAAATCTTCTGATTTCCCTCTTAAGCTGTAATGTAATAGGTCTGAGATGTTGTCAGAACTATACATCATAGGTCTGGACTATACTTAAAATAAATATCTGTATATTTTTAAATTATTAATAAATTGTTATGGTATTTTTTTTCTTACAGGAAAAATAGTTCTAAAAAATCGTCTAATTCAACAGTAGCAAAAATACGTAGCGCTGCTATTAAATTGAGTGCTCAATTACGTCCAACTAAGAAACCAGGATTTTTACCAGTGCCAAAATAAGCTCCAACATAATAATTAATTATTGATAAATGATAATCAAAAATGAATATACAACATTTCTATACACAATATTAGAAGCATTTTTTTCTTATTGATATTGTAATAAATTAGTCTGCAATTTAAACATAGAAAATAAAACATAGTATTATATATTAGTATTGATTTTAATAATATAGTATAATATAATATATATTATTTATGATATTAGGTGTGCTAATTTATTAGGTAACACAAGCATGATCATTAAATCTTATGTGATTTATAAAATTACAAATTACCTCATAAAAATAGCTAATTTTTAAAAGATGATTTCAGTATCTACATTCATTCTCTCGTCCCTATTTGATCCATGTGCAACATAAAACATTTGCATTAAACTTTAAACATACCAATTTTGTGTTATTATTGTAAGTGAATTGGAATATTATCAAATTAAAATGTATAAACATTATTTGGGAACCTTATAGTCTTTAAATAAGCTTTTAATTATAAAGATTATTTCGAAGATTTTAAAATTATAATATATTACATAATTTTGTAACATGTAACTTACAGATTAAAATATTAATAAAATCCTATAAAGATTAAGGATATTCTCACCTTTAAATGTGATTATTAGTTAATTCATTCCAATATTAAGTTTACAATACAAAATTGGTTTAGCTAAATGAATATTTACTACATTGCAAATGGGTTAGAAAGAAATCAAATAAAGTGCGCTTCCGTCCAATTATAGAAGGGTCTTTAAAAAAATAATACACAAAGTTTGAAGCTCAAAGCTGAAAGCAAACCAATTTAACTCTTTTACTTACAAATAAGGTTAATTGAAAATAATTACATTCATTCAATGCAAAAGTTAATTGTATGATCACAATATATTTATTTCAAAAAAATTGTTGTTATAAAAGTCATGAGTCTCTCGGACGAATTGTACATTATTTTTTTTTTTTTATCTTAATACAATGTATAAATATTATTGGTTGAAAACTCTTATAATTATATCATAAATCATTATCATAATGTTTAAGTACTATAAAATATTTAATGTAAATTTTCTAAATAGGTGAACATATAATATAAGTTTAGGAACAGTGGACAGTGGACCTATATAATATTAACATCTAATATTTTGTAGCATGCATTATATAATGTAAATGATACTATAAACATAAAATATTTAATAATGTTTACAAAGTGTATAAAATAGTCTAGAACATTGAATTACATGGATTTTGTCAATTATTATACACTATATAAGTTAAAAGTATTGGTATATAAAAAAACTGATGTATAAAGTCTTGACCTCTATAAACATCTGATATTTCATCATTATGTATACATAATGATCTTTGGAGATAATTTTTAATCAAATATACTTTTGTAAAAGAATATAGCTAAGCCTACTTTTCATTGAGTTTCCTAAAATTTTTATATTATTAGTTTTAATAATAGCTGTAATAAATAATAATATACATGTTACCACAACACAATTTTTTTCGATAGTTACATGAAATAAATAAGGCACATATTATAAAGATAACACCAATTTGAGCAATGCTAATTTTGTAACAATTTTTTTTTTTTAACTTAACATTCTAAGTTAAAGAGACATATATACTTATTAAAATAAAAAATTTTAAATTGACACAACCATTTATCAAAATAAACAAACTTTAGAAATGTAAATAAAGTTTTCAATCATATTAAGCTGTTTAAATTAATAATAATCTTATTTAAAATATTCAATATATTTAATTTATAAATGAAAATAAGAAAAATGTAAACAACTTTTTGAATAGATTTTATTATAACTTAATTTCATATAAGTAAAATCTGCTAAATCAGGAGAATAAAAAAAAACTTTATAAAAATATTGATGAAGTAATATAAGCCTTGGAATGAGGATCAATCCACTTATAAAATGAATTGAGTTTGATTTAACTTGTACAGCAATAACAATAAGAAATATAAACCTAATTATATACTATATAATTATGTATAAAATATTAATTTATTTTGTAATTATTAGAAATCAACTAGTTTGTGTTCGTCCAAAACATTTATAATACGGATGAAAAACAAATTTTCTTAAGTTAACAGAAAAGTTATATATATATATTTAAGATATAGAATAGTTTAACGTTGTCATTACATCTTGCTAGTACTGAACACCAGTAAATAACCTCATGAAATTGCACTAGTGATGCTAACTAAATAATACTAAGAGTAAATTAAACTGTGTTTTCATAAAATAAGAGATTTCAAAATAATAATTATTGTTACTTAACAAATTTAAAAAAAGGTTATCTTTGTAATTTAAATTAGTAACAAAAAAAATTCTTTTATAATAATTCTAATTTTTTCAACACTATCTAATTCTGTAATTAGTGAATTAGATTTGAAGTATTTAGAGTATTATAAAAAATATTGTTAACTAAATTTGATCAATTTAAAGTATACATAATTTTTATATATGTATATCACTATGCCCTAAAGAATTTAATAAAGAAATCATTTACTTTTTTTTATCTGTGTCAATAGTAGGCTGTGTTAAATTACACAATAGTTAACGATAAACTTAAGACAATAGAGTAAAAAAAATTTCCTATAAATAATTTTCAATATCATATTTTTTATATAATATAGACCTTTAAGTTCAAACCAAATGGGTAATTTTTAATGGCACCCACAACTTTTAACTATCATGTTTTTATACTTCTTTAATATGACATTATTATCTTCCAAAAAAAATAGTACTGCTTGTTGAGCCATTTTTGTTGGTGCACAACATGGTTTAGGGATCAGTACAGGACTCATTAAATGTACCAATGTCTGAACAATTGCATGGTTTGTCGCATTCATATGAGCATTGAGAGGGAAATTACATTCACCAGTGCAATAAAATGCTCCATAACCATCTGGTGCTATTATCCAATCCTAAAAATTAATAAATATTTTAATAAAATTTATTTTTTATAGTTTTCTTATTTGCCAATAAAATAAATATGAATCTTAGTTTCCAAACATAATTAGTAACAATGATCTAATTTCTTAAAGCAAAATGCAATGTACTCGTATTTATAACATTATGAAATAGTACAATAGTACAATAGTACAGAGGTTCTCAAAGTGTGGCGCGACCCTCCAGGGGGGCACAAGACAAAAAACAAGCCCACCCATCACATTAAAAKTGGCCYATTAATTAAAATATTTTATAAAAAATACATTTTATTTTAAAATAAATTTGTAATATTAATATTATTAATATTATTAATATCAATATTTGTTGTTTGTTTTTAACATTTTTTTACTCTAAACATGACTATTAAAATTATTTTTATGAGGGGGGGCTCCGGTCTGGGGTTAACTAAAAGGGGGGGCCTGGCCTGAAAAGTTTGAGAACCTCTGCAATAATACATTCTGATATTTGATATTTAGTCAAGTTTTGATGCTAAAAATTGTAAATTCATTTTTTTGTTATACATTAAAATAAACTTAACACATCTGAAATCTGATATTATCAAGAAAAATTATTAACTTTACCTGCCATTCAAGATCTTTGAAGCTAACGTATAATGTTTGTATTTGACAACTTCTAGATTGAAATCCTTCTGCTATGTCTGAAATAGATTAATATTTTTACCATTATTGTTTTTGATTGTATGTACAGAAATAATGTACACAATATTATAAGCTGTCTAGATGATTAAAATAATTATGGTTTAAAAAAATGATAGGATATTTCTGCTTGAAACTATGGTCAACATCAAACTAAAAATAACCATTTTAAACATAACTTGATTTTCTATAACAAAAAAAAAATTTTTGTCTAATAACTGTCCTATTTTATTTCATCCATGTTTTTTAGTTTTTTAAGTTTGGCATAATTTTTTAGAAATAAATTATAATTTGTAATCATATCTAGAATTTAGTTAAAAGGTTATAAAGGTACCATTTAATTTTACACCCATAATTTTTTTAAATAAATACATTAATTTGTATAAATTAAATCAACCTGGGATTGTAAGTTAAAATATTGGAAGATTGGAATACACTAATAATTGTAAAAGGATTAAATTACAGGTAATGGTGAAACAACTTGGACAAAATATAAGGTATTTCCCAGAGTTCTAAAAGATCGATGGTTGACTGCAATTGAAGACAAGTGTTTCAAACATTTTTGAAATATGTGATAGAATGGAAATCTGTTGATAATTAGTAATAGAAAATGTTGAAAAATCTTCATGAATATCAAAAAAGGCATCTACACCCCATGACAATATACTAGTAACAGTAAATCTATCATATTACCTAAAAACATTATAGTTGTATAAATCAAGTTAATTATTAGTGAATTTATTATTTAACCAATTATAATAAACAAATGATTTAAAGCATATATTATATTAGTTAATAAGTTAGTTAATTTGGTTTTTAGTCAATGACAAACTTGATAAAACTGTATAGTACCGAAACGAAAAATTTAGTTTTTAGATGGTAAGAAGTAATAAAAACTTATATGAATCTTGCTTACTTTGAAATGGGTTTGAGTTGTAACTACTTTCAATAGTTTTCCTTCTTCTTCTTCTATAATGTTTTTGAAGAGAAGGACCACCAACTATATTACCTCCATTTCTGGACTTCAAATAAACAGCCATAAATGGTTTTTTTGCTTCAGACAATTGATGTTTATCAGCCCATGTCACCATACCAATTTCTTCTGGTTTGATTTCATGATCTAATGAGCATATAAAACAAATGAAATTAAACTGGTTGGTTACAAACATTTTGTAATTTGTTAAATACCTATACAATTAAAAAAAAAATATATATATATTTTTTTAACTGTAGTTCAAACTAATTCAAATAACTTAGGACTTTTTGGTTGTAATATATAGGTAATCATAACTAACATTTCCTTATTACAATTATGTGAACATAAACATAATCTTGTAGACTAAAATAATAATTAAATACCAACAATTAATTTTACCTTCATTATCATGAGAATGTACAGAAACATATAATCCTCTATTGGGGTATAAATAATGGGTCCATGAAACTAAAGCACCAGTTGCATTAAATCGAAGCCATCCATCATAATCTGTTGTTGTGTTTTGGGTATCCACAAATTCTAATTCTTTTTCTCTGATAAATAAATAAATAGTATGTAATAAGAATAAATAAATAAATATAATGTCATAACAATTATTTACTTACCCATCTTTTGTAATTAAAACTTGATACAAAGTAACTGAATACTTCTTAACACTACTTAAACTACCAGATTGGTATAAATGAACTTCAGCAGAAGTAATCATATGAGTTTCTTCAGGTGGTATATCATTTAATTCAAATAAAATCCGTTTACCATGTTCGTGCCGAACATTACTAACTGGAGCTAAAATTAAAAACATAAATAATATTTAACTTTGATTAAATTACTCTATAAAATGATGCTTGATTTATAACAGTGGTTCTCAATCGGTGTGCAGCGAAAAATGTTTGACATTTATAATGATTATGAAAAATAGTACTTTATTCCATTAAATTTGAGTTGAGCGTGCCTCGAAAACTTGTGATGTAGTATAATAGTGTGTCATGTACCAAAAAAGCTTGAGAACCGCTGATATATAGCAATTAAATATAATATAATATTAGATCAACACAAAATAATCAGCCACTAGAATAAATTTATTTATTATTCATTTAAATAAACTATTTTGTTGGTTAGCCATTAATTTTAACTAGTATGTTATCTCTGAACATTTTATTATTTCAATTTATATTATTTAACACTTTCAACGCCGCTGACGCATATACGCGTCAACAGAGTTTATTCCATTGAGCCAGTGACGCGTTTACGTGTCAGAACCATGTACGTTTGTATTCGCCATAATTTAATTTTAATAAACTCTGAAATGTACATAGGCTGTAGACAATAAACTCTAAATTTAAATCTATAATTGGTTTGAGTTTCTTATTTATAAATATGGATAATCATTGTTTTAGAAGGCCTTCCCAAAACAATGTATATGATAGAGATGTTACGAACTGTTCGATTTTCGAACCAAACCGAACCGAACTCTGGGTGTTTGGTTCGGTTTGAAAACTGAACTGGAAATTCCAAATAATCAAACCGAACCAAATATCTAATAGTTCTGTTCGATGAACCAGAGAAATAAAAATAAAAGTCGATGGAGTAACGGCTAAAATTATAAATTATTATTAAATAATTAATAATKAATAGATTAATATTAGTTGTTTAATGTTTGCTTGTTTTAAATATTGATGTTTTTCGCTTTTTCTTATTCTTATCAGTTATCATCATATTAAAAATTAAAAATCTCATGCATAATAATTATTAACTATTAAAGTATTTAAAGTATTTAAGTAAATAGTTGTAAAATCTTTATTCAATAATTCTGAGGTATGGTGGCTAAATGATAAATAAATAAATAAATAAATATTAAATATTAAATAAAATAATATCCAATTTAACTTTTAATGTCCGGTTCGAGTTCGATAAAATATTTGAAGAGTTTGGTTTGGTTCGTGTTCGATTAAAAGTGTGTAGGTTCGGATCTGTTCTAGTTCGTTAATTTAAAGAAAAGTTTGGTTTGGGTTCGGTTCGACCTTAAATATTATGGTTCATAACATCTCTAGTATATGAATGTATACAGGGTGTATATTAGGTATATTATAACTTTTTCAACTGATATTATCATTTACAAATTATAACTATTGTAACATTTGTAACATACTGTATAATGCAATATGGCTACTTTGCCACTAATTAATTTGTGTAGGAAATTTTATATTCATATATTCTATGTTTAGATATATGATATATAACATGTGTATGTACTAATTATTTTATACATAAAAGGTAACAATAAAGCTGTTAAAAAGTAATATTAAAATTGTATTCAATTTTATAATTTAATAGAGTTATGCTTCTAATGCCATTGACGTGTAAACGCGTCACGGGATAAACAATGCGGCGTCGCGGTATAATTGCCGAAATCACAGGTGGTGTTGAAAGTGTTAATGATAAGATCAAAATTCATAAGACAAAATAAAAATTAAAACATAACAGTAGTSTATTCTCAGACTCTAAGTGGTATACTTTGGGAGCCTGGGGCTCCACAATTATGTTCAAGTTCTTTAAGGATGGCTCATCCATATATGTTGTAAACATTTTACAAACCCATTATTTGACAAATTTCATATTTTGAATAATTGATTTAACCCTTTTATGATTAATATTGAGCGAATTGACTTATTATAAAATTTAAAAGTAAGAATATTATCTAGTGACCGCATAGGGTAATTTTATATTTTAATTTTAAGACAATTAATGAGTATTCTAAATGCTCTAACAATTTGTGAAATTAAAACATTCATAACTTGCTTTTAATAAAAATATAAAAAAAATCCTGAAGTTCATTAAACAATTTTCTTACTTCTAAATTTGATAATAGGTAAATTTGCTCCATTATTTATCATAACAGAGTTAAATTGATTATTCAGAACTTACAATTTGCCACGTTCAGCATTTGTAAGACGAAGATAATACAAGCAAGTGTAGTGTCTTCTTAAGAGGACGCTATACATCTATTTGCTGTCTCCGTTTTACCAAGTACATAAATTCACACTCAGCAGATCACATTTAGCTCTGTAGTTTAAAAATTAGAGTGAATCCATCTATAATGAAACTTGATATAAAGAACATTATCTGTGTTTGTAAATGAGTTTTTAACAATAGTTATCATAAAAAAAACCACATACAAACACAGATAATGTTTTTACCATCAAGTTTCATAATAGGTCAATTTACTCTAACTTATAAACTATGTGAGCTAAACGTGATCTACTAAGTTTAAATTTGCTAAATTACGACCTTGTAAGACAAAGACATAAAATATGTATGTAGCGTCCTCTCAAGTCACTACTTTAAATCAAAGGCTCAAAAAGTTAATTTTTAAATTTTAAATTTAATTATTTTAAATACATTTAAACATAGGTAGCTATACAAATATTTATAATTAGCTTCTAGCATCACTGTTTAATAATTTTATTCAGAGGTGTCATTTACGTTATACTGGATATTCATTTTTTGTAACTTAAAATTTTGTATCGTATTTTTGGCCCACTAGGAACAGCCAAATTTAAGACTTAAGGCAGTGCTGAAATAGTAAAGAATTAAAAAACAAATAAATAAATTAAGCTGTGAGGATGACTTTTTTAATATTTAATATTATTATAACTTCATCTACTCCTCGTAAAGAGTAACTTAAATTTAAGTTTTGTCGTCTAACCTCTTCTTAATTGTATCAATTAGCAATTAATTATGTAAAATATTTTGAAAAAAAATTGAAAAAGCTACCATATTCACACTACGCCACTGTGTATTCTGTTTACTTATATAGGTACCTATAATTGATGAGTGCCTTAAATTAAGCAAACTTAGCCACCGCTAAAGATAATAGAAAATTTTAAACATATTCATGATTATCTTAACATTTAAATTATTAGTACTTACAATGATTTGATAGGTATAGTGTGACTATGACATCACTGTCTTGAACGGTACGATCATCGTATTGACCTACATCCGAAACACTTCTTTCTTTTCTGTCATGCAAACCATCTTGTTGTATGGATCTATAGACATCAAACAAAAACTGTGGTGCCGAACCATCCAGGTTCTTTGGAGATTTTCGTGGTATTTTCGGCACACCAAACATGGTCAGTATCTCTTGTTCAACTTCGTTACGCTCCTCAACTGACATGAAATCTTGCTTGACTGTCTGGACACCATTGTCCATGTACACACCAGTCGGCGATCCGGCAGCAACAAAACCGTACGCTGTTATGTGGAATAGTATGGTCAACGTCAACAGACATTGTTTTTCGTGCATTTTTATTGTTGTTGTTAAAATGTTAATTATTTAACCAATTATTATCATATCATGAAACTTGATGATGGGCACGAAAATTCGAAGACAATCTGAACTCTGAAGACTGAAATTCTGAACTCAATCCGATTAGCCCACGGCCGATTGTGGTCTGTACTCAGTGGAATGTCTGCGAAAGATAGCTCCGGCGTAGTTGGCTCTTATACCACTGATAAGACATTGGTTAATACCAGTTATATTAAGTTGCATTTACTAAATTTATTAGGGGCAATTTAGTAAAACGATTTTAAAACAAATAATAATAATATGACATCACTTATGAGAAGAGTTTAAAGAAGTAATTTAGTGAGTGTCACGGAGAGTTATTAATTAAACAAATTACTAATTTTAAAATAATAAACACATTCACATTATGACAACTTTACTGTAGTGGCACCGGTGTCTGGTGAGTGGTGTCAGTGGTGAGCGGTGACAATAAAATATTAAATGAAGCCATACAATATTTACAGCTACAGCGGCAGCACCACCAAGACAATAGAATTCTACCGCCATCTCTGCAGTGTGGCCAAAAGGCGACCTTTTATAGGATTTGATCTCCTCTGTTATCCAACAAAATAAAAATTTGGTAACATGTAAATTGTAGCGGCTATACTATTATCAGTGTTAGGTAAAATACTAAATTACTTTTAAAAAGTAATTAAGTTACTTTACTCGTTACTCAGAGAGAAATGTAATAAAGTTACTTTATTCGTTACTCTAATAAAATTGTAATGAAATTACTTTACTTTCAAATTGAAAAGTAACTCATTACTTTTTCGTTACAAAAAAAAAATAATATTTTTAAATATATTTTTACAATATTATCATTGTGCTTGTGCCTGGCAATAATGTTACTAGAAATACATTACCTATAGTAAATAGATATAACTTGAAAAAGAAATCAATATACTATAATCAATATAATACAATATTATTAATTTAAATTTATTTATGATTTAAATTAACTTAACACAATAGTGTATCTTCAAATTTTTTGTCAATCATACGCGACCTTTTTTTAGCACAAATGTCCCCTGAAACACTAAATAATCGCTCTACAGAAGTATTGGATGCTAAAGCTGTGTTGTATTTAATAAAAATATTCTTTACTAATGTAAATAAATAAATTTTATTTATTAAACTTTAATAAATTAATATACATAGTATATTACTATACTAGATTGATATACATAATAATGTTCGCATTATAGACATATTTTTTTTTCAAATCGCAAAAGGTAGGTACTTAATAATTCGAAACTGTAACGCGTTATTCAATAGAAATTACTTATAAAAAGTAATTTCCATTACATTTTCGTTACTTGGAAATAATTCTAATGAAATTACGTAACGCGTTACAAACAAAGTAACGCCGTTACAGTAACGCGTTACTTTCGTTACGTTACTACCCAACACTGAGTATTATACACTGTATACAGTATACTTGAATACCTACTAGTGTCGCTATACTATCCTAATCCTAGTAAAGTGAGCAGATAAAATTTAACTTCTATGAATATATTTGAGACTTGAGTTCGTAATGAAGTTTGCTTGAAGCCCACTTTTCTACATTTTGGAAATCGAAAATCGAAAATCGAAATAATAATAATAATAATAGTTGAAATTGAACCCTTCAATATTAGATGATAATATTTTTAAAAATAAGAAAAAATATCAATATATTTAGTTTTCAAGTAAATTTCACGAGAATTTCAAATATGCATTCAGAAATTGTATTGGATTGATTTGGGTAGATAATATTTCAGCTGTCTAAGGATTGTTACTACTACTTTGATATTAAAAAATATTAATTGTCTCGCACATTATTGACATGTGCATGCACGTGCGGGAGCGCTCTGTTATTTTTTTATACACGGTCATAACGTAGGTCATGTTACTTGCTGATCTCGTGCATTTCGTAATTTCGTTGCCTAACGCCCGTTAAAAATGGCAAATCTATAATATGATTCTAATTATAATATTCAAATTCATTATTTAATATTCAATGAAATAATGTTCAAAACTTAAAAAACGTTCAACCAATATTTCTGTTATGATCAGCTGTACCCAATGATAATAAGTAATAACTTTTATTTTATGTTTTATTAATATTATTTTTGTTCTATCATTATTTAAGAACAATGTATATTATTAGGTATCTATTTCTATTTACTGTAGGTATTCACTATTAGTACAGTATCTTATGTAAAATTTTAATCAACTATTTGAAATATATCATATCAAAAATGATTATACATAAATTCTCTTTCTATTGTTTTTTACTAAAAACTATCCTTTGTACTATTTTACATTTTATCATTAGTTACCTAAAATCTATTACGTTTTGTAAGTTTTGTATTTCAAATAAGTTCCAATAGGTAGGTTATAGGATCACTTTTTATAACTTATATTAGATATAACATAAATTATGTTTTATAATAATTTTAATAAACAAATATTCAACTGTTTTAGACAGTATTGAGACAAAATACCTGTACTAAAATAATTAATACGTAGGACAGAATATCTAAATAAAATGCAATTTCAAAAACCTATTTTAAAAATAAACAATGGATCTAATTAAAAACAATAAATTATATTTAATTTTTATAATCACTCAATTTTAAAAAAAACTTTTAAATTTTTTTTTACTTGGATATTTTTCATAGATTTGTTTTAGACAATAAATGAATAAAATCATAAATTTAAAATTTAAAATACTTAATGTAAATATTTGGAGAATAGAAATATATTATATTAGGTATGCATTTTATCATGCAATAGCTGCAATTTGAAGGAGTGATAAATACATCATTCATTTATCCACTTTTCTATTTTATTTTGTTCTGTATTTTCTGCGTCATTACAAAGTGGTGCCAAACATAAGTACACTTCATTCATCTAAATAAACTGAGAATTTATCAAATACATTTTACAAAAAATATGTTAAGTTCATATTATATTTAAGACATCCCGAGTAGCATTTTGGGTGCACTGAATGTTTTTACCAATCAGTAATTCTATGGTTCAAGGCACGGTGAAAATCTGGTTCACTGCACTGTGTTTTTAGAAAAATGAATACCGAATTTTTACATGGGATGCACCGTCATTTAAGAGTGCAAATGTCGGTTTAAAACCAGTGTAATGGTGCAAATAAGTATCTAAATAATTGTGCATTTATAGTGAAATCGTCGGTGAAGTTACCGTGTTATTGTTAATTTTAYAACTGTTAATTGTTCATGCTTTAGTCGGGTCAGTTACCGTTTTATAGTTAATTTAATAACCATTCATTTTCCGTGGTTTGGTTGGTTAAATTACGGTTTTATGGATCACTTTATAACCAATAAAAAAATTATWCATTTTTAATAATACAAATAGACTTTTATTTATATATTAAAAATCAAACAAATGTCTCAATATAATTAACAATTCAATAAATATATATTGATAATAAAAAAAATCATAATAATTAATAATT